GGCTCGCCCGCGCTGCCGTCGGCCGCGGAGGAGGAGGAGGAGGAGGAGGAGGAGGAGGAGGAGGAGGAGGAGGAGGAGGAGGAGGAGGAGGAGGAGGAGGAGGAGGAGGAGGAGGGAGGAGGAGGAGGAGGAGGAGGAGGAGGAGGAGGAGGAGGAGGAGGAGGAGGAGGAGGAGGAGGAGGAGGAGGAGGAGGAGGAGGAGGAGGATAGATGTGGTGGGTGGCAATTGGTGCCTGGAATGGTAGGTGGTGGCGCGAATGCCTTGAGATGGAGGTACGGGTCGCCCCCCCTACGGCCGTCTTCGTTGGCCGAGGGACCGTGGGGGGGTCCTCGGCCCCCTCCGGTGCCTATCGACGGCAAAATGGAACGTTGAGTGGTGGGAGCGGGAACCCTCGCAACCCCATTGATGGAAGCTGCGAGGGGTGTGAGGCCTAATGGCGGCCCTCACCGACGAGGCCTAATGACGGTCCTCGCCGAGGGGAGGGGCGAGAGGGAGGGGGGCCACTCCGGGTGTCGATGCCGCCCGCGATGCGTCTCACTCCTGAGGCGGGATTCCTGCAAATGGGGGCCCACAAACCAGCATACACAGCTTCGACTCCGAGACTGTGTATACGCCACACCCCCGGGAACCTCAAGGACTAATTTTTCACTATGTCGACGGGTGGGGCGGTCAAGGGTGGGGCGGGAGGAGGAGGAGGAGGAGGAGGAGGAGGAGGAGGAGGAGGAGGAGGAGGAGGAGGGAGGAGGAGGAGGAGGAGGGAGGAGGAGGAGGAGGAGGAGGAGGAGGATGAGGATGAGGATGAGGATGAGGATGAGGAGAGGATGAGGAGGAGGAGGAGGAGGAGGAGGAGGAGGAGGAGGAGGAGGAGGAGGAGGAGGAGGAGGAGGAGGAGGAGGAGAGAGGAGGAGGAGGAGGAAGAGGAGGAGGACGGGCAGGGAAACGGGTGGGGCGGTCAAAGGTGGGGTGATAGGGGGGCGGGGTCGCGAAGTCGCATCCCCACCAAGATAAAGTCCCATGCTTCCCCTGGGGAATGGAACATGGTGGGAAGTGCCATTTCGTACCAGGACCCCCCGGAGCCGGCCAAACCGAGGGGGAGGGGTCAAAATCTCCATAATCGTTTGGGGAAGCCCCAATCCGCACACCAGACCAGAAGCCGGAGACCAGGGTCCACGAGGACCCAGGAAAAGGAGGGTCGATCGCCCCCGCCAGGAATTGGATGCCACTCCAGGTCCGCGAAGGCGCTCCAGACGACGAAGCGACTGAGGCGTCGAGCTCGACCCCAGGCGAGTAATCCCCCACGTGCGCCGGCAGCACGGCGCGCGGCGCAGGCGAGGGGCTTGCGGGATCCTCGACTGGGGCAGCCCTAAAAGGACAGAAGATAAACCCAGCACCGTACCCCGCGATCCAGACATGCTGGTGCGGGGACGGGCAAGACAGAGGCAGAGGAGGAGAGAACGGGCAGGGAGGACAGGCGGAGGAGGAGAAAAGTCAAGGCAAGAACAGCGGGGGGGGGGGGGGAAGGGGGCGGGCAAGGGGCCAGAGCGGGGACGGGGAAGAGAGGGGCGGGGGGACAGAGACTGAAGTCAAACGTAGATTTGTGGCCCCAGCGGATCCTGGAGGTAGGTCTTCTCGATTGGTTGGCGGGGAGTGGGCACGACCGCACGAGTGCCACTACAGCACGGGTCGAACCATCACCCTAGGTGGGCGGGGAGAGGGACACGACCGCATGAGTGCCACTACAGCACGGGTCGAACCGTCACCCTTGGTGCACTGCTGGGGTGGCCCAAGTGCCAAAATGTAAAGGCTGACTGACATTGACAGGCACAATCAGCCGGCAGGGGAATAAATCCCGTTCGCGGCCCAAAGGAGGATAGATGTGGTGGGTGGCAATTGGTGCCTGGAATGGTAGGTGGTGGCACGAATGCCTTGAGATGGAGGTACGGGTCACCCCCCCTACGGCCGTTTTCGTTGGCCGAGGGGCCGTAGGGGGGTCCTCGGCCCCCTCCGGTGCCTATTGACGGCAAAATGGAACGTTGACAGGAAGAGGAGGAGAAGGAGGAGGAGGAGGAGGAGGAGGAGGAGGAGGAGGAGGAGGAGGAGGAGGAGGAGCAGGAGGAGGAGGAGGAGGAGGAGGAGGAGGAGGAGGACGAGGGTGAGGAGGACGAGGAGGACGAGGACCAGGAGGAGGGCGCGGACGAGGAGGCCGACGCGAGGCTCGCCCGCGCTGCCGTCGGCCGCGGAGGCGGAGGAGAGGGCCGTGCGCGAGCAGGCGAGGCCTCGCTCCATCGCCCGGGGCGCCGCGCAGCGCCCGCCCGGAGGCGGCGCTCCCGCCTCGGCGAAGGCGCACGCGTGCTTCGTCTTCGCCGCTCGCGCGCCGTCGGAGAGGCGACCGCGCCCGGGCGGGCCGCCTCGTGCCCTCGCCGGGGCGCCGCGCAAGGGCCTTCGGAGGCTCGCGGCCCGCGCGGAGGTCGTCGGAGGAGGGGCGCCGCGCGAGCGCCC